CTACGTGACTTTACCGAAAGAACCCAGAAGATGAATCCCTGCAGTCACGAAAGCATTAAATCGAAATATAATTAGTAGATTATTTTGTTTGTTGCGGTTGCACTCGACTTAAGAGCCGCATGGCTCACAGGGCTATACCTAATAAATGAAACTTGAAACAGACGAACTCTTTAATCACTAAAAATGTATTTCTACTAAAAAAACTAATATGTATTAAACGTTACATTACAAAATGTTGCTGATGCACTGCATTATGGGAAGACCTGTTGCATCGAGGTCAACTTGTTCCCTTTGCATAAATAACAAAACATAATTCAACACGTTCTTCAATTGCACCGTGGCCTTAAAAGGGAAAACCAATAAAACAGTCGACGTTTCGAACAATAGCCCTTCTTCATAGCACGTAAACGGCAAGGCCATAAAGAGTGGGTAAGTTGGAGACTGCACTCGAAACCATGGGGCCTGATAAATATTAACGTTTAAAAGCCTTTCCGATTAACAGTTTTACAATATTGGCGTATAAATAATTACATGACACAATTACTACAAAAAATAATCAGGAAGCATTTTCATTCTCTTTGGTTCTATTGGGTAAAGTCACGTAGGTGAAAATAAAATAACAAAAAATCACGACGTTTCGGCCACAACACAAGCGGCCTTCATCAGGTGAAGGGACGAGACTGTCTGGAGGACAGCGCTGGAGTGGAAGAAGCCACGCTTAGATCACGACCTTTAAGCTGTGTGAGAAGAAAAGACCACGTGCCTTGACAAAGGAATTAGCATATAATTTAGCATTGAAATGGCTCATTGAAATAGCTAAGCTAAAGTATACACATCCACAGAGATACCCCTTGACAAAGGAATTAGCATCGAATTTAGCATTGAAATAGCTGAGTGATTAGCTTGTAACTGGTCACAGAAATAGCTATGTTAAAGTTAGAGCATATACATTCACCGAGGCACCTAGTACTCATCAAACAGGAGAATTTAGCGAAACACAACCACGCTCAGACATCGGACCTGTGTGCGAGCAAACAAGGTGTTCTGACAAAGAAATTAGCATAAAAATTAACATTTGATTGGCGGATTTTATGAAAGAGATGGTGTACGTGCCGGTGGACTCGCAGTTTAGCGCGGGGGGGGGGGGGGGGGGGGGGGCAGGGGGGAGGGGGGAGTTTACCTATTGATGGTGTGAAAAGGGGGAATTTATAAGAGCTGCGAAAGTTTGGGGTACCACTACTTGAAAAATATACTGTACCATTGAAATTAGTTGAATGTTTAGTTCGATTTAGAACATCTTTCCAATGGTTGCTTAATTTGAAACCATCCTCTCGGTTGAAATTGTGTCTGTGTTTGTAGATCTGAATTGCTTCATTAACAAATCTCTGATAAAAGCCCATGGGTTTGCAAAGAACCTTGGTATCGGAGAAAATTATATCGTGATCCCCCACAGCGTTGTAACAGCGATCAGCCACGGCAGAAGAATTCGTTTTGCCGTGTTTCAAATCTGATTTGTGCTCGCGAATTCGGTCAGAGACATGTCGCTTTGTCTCACCGATGTAGCAATCACCGCAGGTACAACTCAATTTGTAAACCCCGGGGTACTGTAAATCAGGAATGACATCCTTCACGGATGGGAACAGATCACGAATTTTGTGTACTGTATTGAACCGGACCTGGATCAACGGGACAAGAAGTCACAACTCATCGAGACGCTGACCTTCCTCAAAAGATGCCGCGATCACAAGGTAATACCCATCGCTTTCACACTCAATTCTGCTGCTGTATCTTCCCCGAATTCTAAACAGATTCTGCTTAAGGCCAGCCTATCTTTAATCTCAGAGAGGATAAGGCTACTCCGATTTGAACTCGATACTTTAGACAGGACTCTCCTACAAGCTCATTTAATGTTAACACAAAAAATGTCACCTTCTGATTGGAATCACGTAGACAACATGACTGCTTCTTCTGCCGAGTCACTGTCAGTCAAATGTAAAGCTAACCTGATTTCTAAATTCAACCACGTATCAAAGAAGAACCCAGTTCCACATATAACAAAACTAGATGTTAACAAAATCGTCATTAATCAGAGTAGCACCCCGATTTCGGACAATCTGAAAACAGTACTGGCTAGGGGACTAAATTTTGCTGTCACCCCAAAACACATACCAATAGATGATATCATCTCTCAGGTCGATGTAGCCCTCAAAGGCGTAGAACACATCCAAGCAGACGTTGCGAGAGCTGAAATAGCCACTATGCTTAAGAATGCTAAGAAACCCATTAGTAACATCAGCAAAAATGAACGCTCTGAACTCACGAATTTAAAAAACAGAAGTTATATAGTCATCCTCTCAGCCGATAAAGGCAACGCTATTGTTATTATGGATAAAGATTCATACAACAACAAAATCCAGAATCTGCTCAACGATGGAAGTTACTCAAAAATAAAAAAATGACCCTACTAATAGCCTAGCGATAAAAACCAACAAGGTCATCACAAGTTCGACCTCCCTAATCGACCCAACTAAACGTCCCTCCCTAAAACCTTCTGCTGCAAGACCCCCTAGATTCTATGGTCTTCCCAAGATTCATAAAGAAGGCACCCCACTTCGACCCATCGTATCCACGATCAACTCCCCTACCTATAGACTAGCCCGTTTTCTGTCAGATACCTTGCTGCCTTTCACTGGCAAGACCGCCTCAGCAGTACTTAACTCAGCCCAATTGGTCTCTATGGTCAAAGACGTTGTACTGTCCCCTGACGATATCCTTGTCAGCTTCGATGTGGTCTCTTTGTTCACCAAGGTCCCAGTACCTGATACCATTGAAATAATTGAAAATTTGGTCCAACATGGACTAGACCCCGACACACCTGCACTGGTTAGGCACTGCCTCAACAATACCTACTTTACTTGGAATGGCTCCTTCTACAAACAAAATGAGGGTACCCCCATGGGACCCCCCTTATCACCAGTGATAGCCAATATTTTCATGGAGAAATTTGAATCAGACGCCATCCAGACTTCCACCCTCAGAGCTTTCCTGTGGAAGAGATATGTGGATGACACTTTCGTCATTTGGCCACATGGCCTCCCAGCTCTGAACCTTTTCCTACACCACATCAATTCCAGACATCCCGCCATCAAATTCACCATGGAAGTGGAGAAAGATGGCAAGCTACCATTCTTAGATGTTCTGTTTGAGAGGAGACCTGATGGCTCATTGGGGCATTCTGTCTACAGGAAACCCACCCACACAGATTCCTACTTGAAACCTGATTCCCACCACCACCCAGCCCAAAAGAATTATCTCATCAAAACTTTATACCATAGGGCTCATTGCATTTCGGACCAACACCACCTGACCAGTGAATTAAAACATGCACACCTGGCCCTCAAAAGGAATGGTTACTCTGACCGTACCATCCGCCAAGCTGTCTCTCCCTCCATACAGAAACAACCACTTGATACTCCGGTCAAAACCATCACACTTCCATATATAGCAGGTGTTACTAAAAAGATTTCCAAAATTCTAAACAAACACAAGATCCAGGTCCGGTTCAATACAGTACACAAAATTCGTGATCTGATCCCATCCGTGAAGGATGTCATTCCTGATTTACAGTACCCCGGGGTTTACAAATTGAGTTGTACCTGCGGTGATTGCTACATCGGTGAGACAAAGCGACATGTCTCTGACCGAATTCGCGAGCACAAATCAGATTTGAAACACGGCAAAACGAATTCTTCTGCCGTGGCTGATCACTGTTACAACGCTGTGGGGGATCACGATATAATTTTCTCCAATACCAAGGTTCTTTGCAAACCCACGGGCTTTTATCAGAGATTTGTTAATGAAGCAATTCAGATCTACAAACACAGACACAATTTCAACCGAGAGGATGGTTTCAAATTAAGCAACCATTGGAAAGATGTTCTAAATCGAACTAAACATTCAACTAATTTTAATGGTACAGTATATTTTTCAAGTAGTGGTACCCCAAACTTTCGCAGCTCTTATAAATTCCCCCTTTTCACACCATCAATAGGTAAACCCCCCCCCTCCCCCCTTTCCCCCCCGTGCCAAACTGCGAGTCCACCGGTACGCACACCACCTTTTTCCTAAAATCCGCCAATCAAATGCTAATTTGTATGCTAATTTCTTTGTCAGAACAGCTTGTTTGCTCGCACACAGGTCCGATGTCTGAGCGTGGTTGTGTTTTGCTAAATTCTCCTGTTTGATGAGTACTAGGTGCCTCGGTGAATGTATATGCTCTAACTTTAACATAGCTATTTCTGTGACCAGTTACAAGCTAATCACTCAGCTATTTCAATGCTAAATTCGATGCTAATTCCTTTGTCAAGGGGTACCTCTGCGGATATGTATACTTTAACTTAGCTATTTCAATGAGCCATTTCAATGCTAAATTATATGCTAATTCCTTTGTCAAGGCGCGTGGTCTTTTTCTTCTCACACAGCTTAAAGGTCGTGATCTAAGCGTGGCTTCTTCCACTCCAGCGCTGTCCTCCAGACAGTCTCGTCCCGTCACCTGATGAAGGCCGCTTGTGTTGTGGCCGAAACGTCGTGATTTTTTGTTATTTTATTTTCACCTACGTGACTTTACCCAATAGAACCAAAGAGTATGGATCCTAGCAGTCACGAAAGCTTTAAATCTAGAACATTTTCATTGTTTCATTATTACCAGGAAACCACGGTGGAAAAGTGAAGTCTCCCAACACTTACCCACTCGGCCTCTCTATTTTAATACTCTATGCTACTCAGAAGGGCCACTGCCCGAAACGTTGCTGGCTTTGTCTTGCTGTCTGGCGTGGCCAGCAATACAAAGGGGCGGGGGTTGGGGGGGCGGAGGGGTGGGGGCCGGGGTGGTGGGGGCGGGGGGGGCGGAGGGGTGGGGGCCGGGGTGGTGGGGGCGAGGGGCGGGGGTGGTGGGCGGGGTCGGGGCAGGGCCGCTGGAGGCGAGAGAGTGGGCGCGGGGTCAAACGCCGCCCCGCAGTCGGCGACGAATCAGAAGCGCACGCGTCGCATCACGTGCCGCCGCGGGATCCAATCAAAACGCGCCACACAGCGGGCCCGCCACTCTTCCTGCCGCCGCCGTCGTCCGCTGCCGCCAGCCCCGAGCCGCCAGTCCCGGTGCCCGCCACGGTCCCCGCCATGGTCCCCGCCGCCGCCGCCTCCTCTCTCGTCGCCCTGCTCGCGCTGCTCGCCACGGCGAGCGCCAGCGATGTGCTCGACCTCACCGACGCCGATTTCGCGTCCAAAGTGGCCGGCCACGACATGGTGCTCGTTGAGTTCTTCGCGCCCTGGTGAGGCCGGGAGCGAGGCGCCCGGCGTGGTGCAGGGGAACCCGGCGCAGGGTTCTAGGCGAGGCCGTGGCTCTCGGGGCTTGCCCCGCGCGCTTTTATTGAGGGGGTTGAGTTGGCAATGAAAATGTCTCTGATTTATTTTTAAAAAAAGACGATCGTTGTGAAGAAAGAACGCCGCTGGTCGAACCCCACTGCAACGAACGTGATTAGTTTTGACGTACACTTTGCAATGAGTCGCGTTTGCATTGCGGTGGTGCTGATTAATGTGCACGTCGAGTTTCAAAGGAAATGCTCAGCGGTCGGGTACTTTAAACTAATTTGGAGTAGATTTCCCTGTCGTTTTAAAAGTAAAAAAAATATATAGTTTTAGATGCATCTTGTGTGCTGCCGTGATTCAAATTGCTTGGCTTGTGCTTGAAGTGGGTGATTTGTAAATGTTTGAGAATGGGTTTTTAATCAATTTTTTGTTACAAGGGACTTGGGAAAATTCCAACCTAGGCTGTAAATCGACGTTTGTTTAAGCAGGTTCAGGCTCGTTGTGCTCTTTCGTGAGATTGTGTTTGTCAAACGGTGCATTAGCTAATTATAATGTATAATGATTAAAACGAGTGAATGACGCAAACTTGGTTTGCAGTGTAATAATAATTTGTCGAGATGTGACCGAGCTCCGTGACAATATAGCTCAATATACGAGTTAATAAAGCTGTCATTAAATATATTTAATGTAGCGTTACCGTACACCTAATAATATTAGATGTGAAAATATCGAATCTCGGTTCGGTAAGCGAATGCTGACGGTGGCTAAAATGACTTATCACACAATCTAGATTCGTTGCACACAATCTAGATTTGTTGCACACAATCTAGATTTGTTGCACACAATCTAGATTTGTTGCACACAATCTAGATTTGTTGCACACAATCTAGATTCGTTGCCCCCGTTGTCTGTATCGGGCAACTCAACAAATGCGCTGCTCCTCGCTGTCCTCCGTTTGACGCTGCCCATTTTATTGTCTTTTGGAGAATCAATTTTTTTAAATCCACCACCAACCACCTCGCCCTCCTACCTCTTCCCCCTCCACTACCTCCAACTCCTACCTCCACTACCTCCCCCTCCTACCTCCACTACCTCCCCCTCCTACCTCTTCCCCCTCCAACCACCTCGCCCTCCTTTACTCTTTCCAGGTGCGGTCACTGCAAGCGACTTGCCCCCGAGTACGAGAAGGCTGCCACCAAGCTGAAGAACACGGTCGCGCTGGCCAAGGTGCGTGATTTGCGTGCTCGCTGGCAAACTTTCAGGGTCGCTTAACTACGTCATCCCCGGCTGCTGGGTGGGGGTGCACGGGATGTCGGGTGGGATCGGGGGATCTCGGCAGGGGTAAAAGTTCTGCAGGGGTAAAAGTTCGCCATGTCGCCCACTCGTTTTCTCTTTTAGCCACACCCGGCTGCTGTCGTTATCGCTGATCCCTCCACTTCACTTGGACCCCCCCCCCACACACACTCCACCTCTTGCCTCCTCTTCATGGCCACCCTTCGGTGAACTTGTCGGGGTTGGGCACGTTCACGCCTCCCGAGCCGGACACGGATGTCGCCCCAGTGCAGGGCTCCGTGAAGTGGGCGATGCAGCGTCGCCCTGAATGTGCTCATGGCTTGGTTGTAGTGGGGGGAATAGTGCATTGTGCCTGCGTTTATACGCAACGTCTGTCGAAATGTGAACACCACTGATGCTGGCTTGAAACCCTACTGCAGGGCTGCCGGCCGTGCTGGCGCATACTTGGTAGTTGCAGCGCTTTGCGTGATTTAGACGTTGCCACTTTGCACCCACTCGACTAAATTGGGCACGATTTAGAATCTTATTTTAATTGTATATCGTCGTGTGAGTGCCCTTTCTCCAGGTCATCTGGTTTTCTCCCCCCTTTATTTTAGCGCGCACGTTGCACGAGCAGCAGTGGCTAATCAGCGCTGTAACCGTGACTCCGCAAGTGAAGTAGAGATGTTGTGCAGCCTCGGTGTAGTTTTAGAGGAATGTTTAGTGTGTTATCATTCATCTTGTACAAAGAGTGCGTGGGGCACGAGGGTAAATCGCTATGGGTGCTGACTATACTGAGCAGGTTAGTTTTTTTTATAAAATGAGCCTGAATGGGCACCGGTACAAAAGCAGGAAACTAAGAAATGAATGAATAATACCACTGGTAAATTAAAGTACTCCTTAAAATGTAGTTAGCAAAGGTCCCAATGCAGGACACTATATATTGTTCTATGCGGCCTCATGAATGTGTTAGCTCCTCAGAAGTAGTGTGGATTTGTGTGTGGGGATTTTCAGTTCTTGGTAATCCTGTGGATTATAATGTGGGCTGTCTTGCGTGGTAGAATGCATTTCAGTCAACCTAAGTCGCATTGCCTAAACATGCAAAGCAAATCTGTGGAGTCCATAGGTCAATTTAATTTTAACTGTAGCATGCTACTTTAAGTAATGACATTACAGAGGCTTATTTTATTCTTCACTTCGTTTAAATCCTCCGATTTACTGTGGAAGCGCACTTAATCCAACTTGGGTATGCAGTCTTGCCTATAAGAGAAGGCACTGTTGTATATTGATTGTACACAGTAAGGTGAAAGGTCCCTCCCTATACCCGTAATTTCAGAAAAAATAATCTAGATTCTAACTTTATTTAGGTATGAATTGGTGTGTAATGTAAACACAAATTGTTGCTTATATGACACTTAATGACGTAGTCATTCAAAGGTGAGGATATAATATGAATTGGTATCAAGGTTGCGGAAACCTCAAGTCAAAGTAACAATAGCTTTATTTCAGTTAATTGTAAGAGCACTACTCACCCTTTCAGAGCGTGCGCCCGCTTGCAAAATCAATGCCGAGTCTTTACGGCCATGCCCGCTTGTGTTGGAGGGAATGTAATACATAGCAATCTCAGCATGGTGTGACGTTTTTTTTGACATTGTCACAGGTGGATTGCACCGCCAACACGGAAACGTGTAACAAGTTTGGAGTGAGTGGCTACCCCACTCTGAAGATATTCCGTGACGGCGAGCTGTCCAGCGACTATGATGGCCCCCGGACTGCTGGTACTCGCGTTTTCTTGCGAATAATTGCTGGAGTGATGTGGATGGGGGGAGATGCTCATTGAAAGGGTCTCTGGCAAATGTTGGTAAAGTTGCCATCTGGTATATTCGACCTGTGTATGATGGGTTCTATTTTTAGTGCATCATATAAAAACAAAAATTTCCACATTTCATATATACTTTTTGTATGCTTTTTAAGCCCGTACATAATTAAATTGTATAGCACCTGCCATTTTTAAGTGAAGTGTACATTTTTTGCAGTAAACAAAGCATAAAAATTGTAGAAATTGGATGGCTGTTATATAAGAGAAAAATATTAGCACAATTGTTTTAACCAATAAAATAACAATAATACTTTTGAGGTGGCTTATTTGCAACATTAATTCTTGTTGAATTTCAGTTTCATTTCCCATCGCTTGATAAGAGCTAATACAATGTGTTGGCTTAGGAAGAATAATGATGACATGTGTAATTTGTGGGTAACCTAACCCTTTGGTGTTTTTCCACAACGTGTTTTCCTGAAGTGCCCATTGCTGATGCAAATAATGTTTCCCTTTGTCCAGAAAAGTCTGCTAAACCAGCCACGTGTCTGAGCACTTACATATTCTGCTGTGTCTGCGTGCTGTGCAGATGGGATCGTTGGCTTCCTGAAGAAGCAAGCCGGCCCCAGCTCTGTGGAACTGAAGACTGTCGAGGACTTGGAGAAATTTGTTGGCGATAACGACCCCAGCATTGTTGGTGAGAAGCTTCCCTGAGCCACTGGACCCACGTCCGTCTGCTGTTAGGATACTACATCTGTCTTGACTGGTCTAATGATGAGGTTATTGGCACCGTGTTGGCAGCTCTGTTTGTTATCCCCCCCCCACTTTTCAATTTCTTCAATCATATGCGTGCAATTTTCCATGACGAACGACAAAGCTACCGATGCGATTGTCTTCGTTTTTGTCCCTTTTTTTCTACGTTGGCAGGATTTTTCAAGGATGCGAGCAGCGATGCACAGACGGAGTTCATGAAGGTGGCGAGCTCACAGAGAGATAACTACCGCTTCGCTCACAGCAACGTACAGGCCGTATTGGACAAGCAGGGTGCTGAAGAGTGAGTGGCTCTCCGTTCAGCCGTGCCATCTGCTTGCCGTGCTATCTGCTTGCCGCACCACACGTCTTGTGCCCTGCCTGCCACTTCTGGCTGTTGCTGTTCTGTAAAGCCTAATTCCAGTGGCCGAATATTTAGACTTTACTATTTCATAACGTTGGGTGCTGTTGCTTCCTGTAAGGGAGGGTTTTTAAGCATTCAAATTATGTGCTTGGCTGCTTTCGATTTGATATAGTTTGTAATGTAGAGGATTATTAAACGATAGCTCTTAACTTGAGCTGTGACTTGCCAATTTATTTTGTATACCTATACATCACTAATTACTGGAAGCAGTTGTAGTACTTATCAGTTGGGAATTAACAGTGGTGTTGGTGGTGTGCATGCAATGTCAATGTGTTGGGTGTACGCACGGACATGTGGCTGATCTGGGGATATTGCATGCGTGGTGTGTGCGCGCGTTCAGGGCGATCGTGGTGTTTCGACCGCTTCGCCTCGCTAGCAAGTTCGAGGAGACGCAGGTGACGTATGCCGAGGACTCCTACAGCTCTGCCAAGATCAAGGCCTTCATCCAGGACAACATGTGAGCACGACGGCGATCATCGGCATGCGGCCCGTCCAATAATTATCATTATCCCTGCATAATGCACCCAGCAGGGGGCGGTGTAATTATAGCCATTGTTCAAGTGTTTAGTTTGTCCCTCCCCCCTGCACCTTCGATTAGCACGGTTGGCTACCTATGGTTTGAAAGACATTCTACATGCACAAAGTGTTGGTACATTTTGCAGTGGTGGAATGTCTGCTTTCAACCTGCATTGACCAGCATGGTCAAATATGGTCCAATAACCCTTGCATGGTGTGGGATGGCCCTATTCTTGCAGTGGATTGACAATTCATCGTGGTATTAATCTCAGTGGCTTGTATTTATCCAGAAAAGCCTCGCAGAGTATAGATTTAATTTGGCGCTGTATTGAAATACTTGGCCAATTTTCAGGCTTGGTTTGCATAAATTGGAACCAGGTCGGATAGCAATGACTACACACATTTGTTAACCCGCTTGCTTTACTGCCCTCTGTCCCCTTCATATTCTATCGCATTTATCACAAATCTACATGATCTACACCAACCCTTGCCTCCAAAGCGTGAGGATACTGGCATTCTCCACAACACGCGGCTTGTTCTTTTGAGATGCCTGTTGTACACAATTTTTTTTCAACTGTACAAAAAAGATTACAAACATAAGAATTCTCAAAGATGCACCGCTTATGGATGGAGGGGGTGGTCTTAAGTATTTTTTCCTTCCCACTTTCAGTCTGGGCATCTGCCCACACCTTACGGATGACAACAAGGACCTGTTTAAGGGCAAGGACCTGCTGGTGGCTTATTATGACGTCGACTATACCAAGAACCCCAAGGGCTCCAACTACTGGAGGAACAGGTACACTTCCTACCCTCCGACCATTCGCCCATTTACTCACGTACGCTTATGAACCTGACAGCCAGTTGAGCAGTAGATACAAATGCCGCCCTTTTGTAGAGGAGACAAAGCATTCAAACGAAGTACAGCGTTACTTCGCCTCGGTCCAGAACAGCAAAACGATGCAGCCATTGAAATCGAATCGATGAGAAAAATAATCGTTTGAATATTAAATTCAATATAACAACACATAATCCTTAACCTTTCAACTGTACATTGCAGTCAAAATTTAAAAAGCTCCGCAGCTCTGACCAATACTGCAAAAAAAATCATGGTCTGAGTGAAGTCTTGCCCTGCGCGCTGTTTGTGGATGTCTCCCTGCGTGCGTGCGTTTCCCCCCCCCCCTTTCCGTCACGCTGGCTGAACCACTCATGCCGCTCTGGTGTGCGCCCCCGCAGGGTCATGAAGGTGGCGAAAAAGTTCATCGAGGAGGGCCACACCTTGAGCTACGCCATCGCCAACCACAAGGACTTTGGGCAGCAGCTGTCCGACTACGGGCTGGAGCACGTGAGTGGGGACGTGCCCGTGGTTGCCATCAAGAAGAGCAACGGCGACAAATACATCCTGCGCGAGGAGTTCACGTGAGTGAGCGCGCGCCCCCTCGCCTCACACCATCGCGAATGCTGCCTGGTTTCAAAATAATGACTGACGTGAGATGCAGATTTGCAGTTGGCATGGGGCTTTCCACTTCCGGGTACGTTCAAATATTTGAAAGTACTATAAATGTCAAGCTTCTCCCTCCAAAAAAAGTAATAATTCTTGCATTTATTTCACATCGAGTTTGCCCTTTCTATGCACTGTCACTTTTATAAAGGTGGTATTTTAGGTGATTTAATAGTTAACTTGGTTGTGTTTGCTTGTCATGTAGGATGTTGGTAAAATATTTGAAAATGTGAGGTGTCTGAGAAAATAATTCCGCCGTTTCAAAATATGTTGGTTTTCAGGGTTTTTTTGCTGAGGTTGGTGTGTGTAATGTGGAGCCCTGCTAGGTCCATGTGCGATGGTTAACGTGTGCTTTTTTTAACACGTGTATTTGGTGCTGTGTGCATACAGGCGTGATGGAAAGTCTCTTGAAAACTTCCTGCAGGATTACTTCGATGGAAAACTCAAGAAGCACCTCAAGTCTGAGCCCATCCCCGAGGACAATGATGGCCCTGTGAAGGTCAGCTCTAACATGACCTCATCAGTACTCTGTTCTCTAGAGCCCAGAGTGAAAGTCATTTTGCCATAGCAGCGTGGAACTTTAGTTCAAGCAATCCGAGGAAAGCCATGAGTGTAAAATAGTAACTTCAGCTAGTTGTGTTTTCTCCGACTCGCCAATGTCCTCGTGCGATGCCTCATGAGATGTCAGCATGTTCCTATCGCTAATAATCTGAATGCACCTGATCCTGGGCGCTAAGCAGGGTGGAGCCTGGGGGCTAGTACTTTGTGATTAGTCGCCACCACATGCAAACAAGTTGTCATACAGAGCTGCAGGATTGCTTACGTGGTAATCTGCAGATGGCAGTTGCGCACAATCAATTGTTCTACTTTACAACGATGCTCCCCAGCATCACGATCTGTGGGCAGATAGCCCGTAGGTGTCCACTGCACATTCCCCATCTTCACTTAACTGCATTACCCAGCATGGTGAAGTATGCTCAAATAAAACTCCCATTACTAGCATGGCATGGGGAGGCCCTCATCCAGCAGCATTTTGACAAAGTGCTGATACATGTGTGGTCGGCAATAACCAATGTTTGTACGGATAATTTGTTACTCGAACGGGCATGGGGTGGGGCGGAGGGGGATCGTGATACGATGAGCACAATCTGACCTCCGCAGGTGGTGGTGGCCGAGATATTTGACGAGCTGGTGAACGACGAGAGCAAAGACGTGCTGATTGAGTTCTACGCGCCATGGTGCGGACACTGCAAGAACCTGGAGCCCAAGTACCTGGAGCTCGCCGATAAGGTACGGCCTCTCCCTGTATTAGTAATTTCGTGACCTTGTTAAGATTCGATATTTGAATCTCATTTTTATTGTTCGTCTTCCACCCCCTCGTTCATTCATTCAAATAATAATTTGTGCCTAGAATTTACAATCTGTAAAGTAATCCATTCTTGCGTGCACGATTGGAGTAAAGTGTAAATCTATTTTTAGCCTTCTTTGGGTCTTTTGGTAAAGTAACGTAGATAGGTTTATTTTTATTAATTTGAACCTATCTACGTGACTTTACCGAAAGACTCAAAGAATATGAATTCCTGCAGTCATGAAAGCTTTAAATCAAGATCTATTTTAGCCACTAAATCGTTATGCCTAAATTTTGTTTACAAGTGTGGCTGTTGCTTAGAATTATTGCTGTTAAATGTATTGATTATTCTCAATAACTGCTCCTCAACAGCTCAAGAACGACCCCAACATCCTCATCGCCAAGATGGACGCCACAGCGAATGACGTTCCGGCTCAGTATGATGTCAGAGGGTGAGTATCCTTGTTCCGTGAAGCTGCGTTTTATGTGCACACCTCCGCTAACCATATCCCCGTTTACTAAGTGCTTTACTCTCTCCCCATGCCCCTCTCGCATACTCAGGTTCCCAACTATATACTTCTCCCCGATGGGTAGCAAGGACAGCCCCAAGAAATACGAGGTGAGTGAAGCCTGCAAGGCAAATGCACGCTCTCGAAAAGCACCATCCCACTCGGCAGGGAATGCGACATCTAAGCACATCCTGACAGTATTGCTGCAATCCGTATGGTGTCATTCAACTATGACACCTATAAACACTATTGCTTACCCCCCTTCGCGCCCCATGCCATACGAAAGAGAGACTTGGATGGAGTTTTTACGTGGATGTATACGTGTGCAGGGCGGCCGCGAGGTGAGCGACTTCATCAGCTACTTGAAGCGGGAGGCGACCAAGAAGCCCGTGGTCGTGGAAGAGAAGAAGGAGAAAAAGAAGTCCGATGATGAGCTTTAAGGTGGCCGTGTAGGGTGGGTGGGGGTCCGGGAGGGGGGGGCAGCACTTGTTCATGGGGATGGGTTTTGCATGTTGCTTTTTTTATGAAAAGCAACAACATTTAGTTATTTCTTTTTTTGGACCAGTCCCCCGCAGCGTTCACGGCACATTACCAGACACTGCGAGTTTTATTTTGTAAGATTTGTGTTGTGTTGTCTGTGATAATCCAAGGCCAGGCCTTAAAGCCTTTGGATGTTTATTTTGGTTACATGATGGGCAACTTCATTGGCTCGCCTGCTGTGTAAAGCACTTGTTTCCCAGGACGGCCTGGCAATTGTCAGTGCTGAACGCTGCAGCGAAGATCTAAAATTGGAGCACACTGAAATGCGCATGGTAGGGGATGGCGTAATTTTTTTACTAGCTGGGGTGGGGGTTGTAGTATAAGATTAATAAAATTGAACTTGCTACGATCTTCCCTTAACCTTGCCAAGAAAATGACTGCAAGAAATGTTGGTTTCAGAATCCCTGTTTGCGTTTTATCCCCTGCTGTTCGGTGCATGTTTTTAAACCCACAATTATCTAAATCACCACTAGTGCTGGAGTCTAGGAGATGTTACTGTGCCACGGAGAAATTTCATCCCTTGTCAGCGCAGCGCTCTTCAAAATACTGTCATCTCCTCATACTGTTGTCGTCTCATACTGTCTTGTCTACAGTTCTCGTTGGGTGACGCTGGGCTTTGGGGTGTTGCATTTCTTTGTGCGGTGTGGTGGGTGACCGTTGAGATTTGGACGCCTGTGACGGTTAACTCGAAGCGAAATTGCTTTGGGAACAGGTTTTCCACAAATGTGAAGAATCCACCGCCAATTTCAAACTGCAGTGTAACTCATTGTAACGATCATGCATATAATTACAGAACAATATATTTGGCTTTGTTAATCCACCCAAGCCCATCTGATATTGTTTTAATGAGAGGGTGGGAAGGCTTACCGTGGTGCAAACGTCTTGTGCTGCTAATGCCAAGAATCCAAGTGGCTTCTTGGCATGACTTGCCAGCCCCTAAAGGAAATATTGTCGATGCACTGCTCTGGGATACAGGTGCGATGCGGGCATTTAGTGGTTCCAAAACTCTGCGCAAATGTTTTCAACAATTCAAATTCGCACCAACAGTATTCCATCATGGGTGTGAAACCTGCTTTTGAGAGTGTGGCCTGTTTTAGTGCCCTTTAACAGATGTTTCACTGCCACTTAATGCCTTACAACTTCATTTACCCCCCAAACAAGACCCGAGAAATTCCTTTATTTCGATTTCGACGCTGTAAATTGGAGGCGGGGAGGATTGAAATTCCTTTACATTGAAAGCTGAGTGGAGTGGTTGCATTCCTGTTTTCACGATAGCTCTGGCTTGAGGGAGTTGTGCAGGTTTGCAGTGTGGATGTTCTCTGGGCGAGGCTTCAAAATAAAATGAACAATGTGTGCGTTGCACTGACGTGAACCAGAGAGTGTGCCCTCAATATTCCATGTGTGGGAATGTGTTTTTTTTGTACAGCATCGTTCGTTTAAATTTCACACGGATTCCCAGGTGCTCATTTACTATCGGTCAAGTTTTACACGCGAAACAATATCCACAAATATGGGGTCCTGAGAAAAATACGTTTAGTTTTCACTGCATCTGTTTCCTAAAATAATACACGTACGACTTGACATTATAGCTTGCAAAACACAATTGGGAGTGAAAAGGTTTACACAGTTAAAACAATATGGGAAGTTCCTCCAGAATCCACTCCCCTTTGACCATGAACACACGGTGCTCTGCTATACAACATCTTGACGATGAACACTGCTGTGTATGCCATCTTGTTCACTACTGTTTACAACACTATGCTGTACCATATACAACATCTTCACTATGAACACTGCTGTGTATGCCGTCTTGTTCACTACCGTTTACAACACTGCTGTACCATATACAACATCTTCACTATGAACACTGCTGTGTATGCCATCTTGTTCACTACCGTTTACAACAACATTGCTGTACCACATTGTTCACCATAAACATGGTGGTCTGCTATACAACATTACTACCATGGACGCATGCTGTTATGCTGCACGCCATCTTTGCGCACTACGTTTTATTATTTTGACTTAACTTAAACTTTCACGATGTGTTGATCGCTGCAAGGGAAGTGTTTCTACGGCACTTAAATCCTTAAGGAATATATAATATGGAATTCTTAAGGATTCTTGAAATTACAACATGTGTCTGTTGGGGGCGCAAGAGGCACGTCTAACCAGATGTGGATTTCTTTAGAACATCGAGTCTTTCAAACTGACATCCTTGAGCAAATAAGTAGTATGGCAACAAACGCGTGAGTTTCAGTTTATACTTTAATTCAAAGGTACGATTCGGGGGGGGGGAAATGATTAAAAAAAAAATGCGCGCCCAACGTGGGGCTCGAACCCACGACCCTGAGATTAAGAGTCTCATGCTCTACCGACTGAGCTAGCCGGGCAGTTAGAGATCCGCGTGGTTCAATGTGGTGAAGTTATTTATCATCGGTGCGAAGGTGGCTGAAATGTAGACTTGTTTAGTGTAAATTACCACCATATTTATGGAATGTTTAAACACCATGGCAGATGCATGAATGTAGTGTTACCATTGCTGCTGCATTTGGACCTGCATCTCGTGGCTGAGGTGCTGGCTTTAAAAAAGAAACGCTTGTTTGCGGCAAACCTGGCTCTGATGAAGGGATATTCTGCTTTATTGATTAATTAACATTGTGCCGAATAGAAACTAGACCTCGCAATTCACGCCCAATATATAATTAACAATAGTTTTTTTGACGTTGGATCGTGAAGGTATAATGTGAATGTTTAACCGTGACAATTTTCACCAATAAACAGATTTACTTGATCACATTGCGGCTTTTGGCTGCTGACCATCGAACAAAGCCGGCGGTCGTCACCGCATTGCGTGGCGCTTTCAGATGCGCTTCTGTGGCCGTCTGGAACGCTCTTCCTATATATTAGGAAGCCACTCGAGCTTATACACTTTGAAATCATCTAGATTGACGATCTCATTTCTTTAAAACTACTTTTTGTGTTTTGGTTTGTCCTTCCCCCGCACATCCGATTGGCGCGGTTGGCTACGTACGGTACAAAAGAAGTTTGACATGCAGTACAAGCATTTTTAAAGCGCACCCGATCCACTTGGAACGACTGAACTCTGTTGGCCTGCGCTCTGTGCTCGTGATGGTCATGACCACCAAGTTCAAGGCTCCGGATAGAGAAGCTCGTTCCTTCAAACTCTCAGCTCTTGCTAACAACTGATGGTACTACTGGGATGGAATCTGCAGCGAAATAAAAAAAACGTGGGGTTTTTTTTGTTGTTGTCATAACCGGTTTTGCTGAAAGTCACAAATCAACCTTATTTACGCGATCTAACCCAAAACTTTATTATGAATTAGATTTGATGCTTTCGTGACTGCAGGAATTAATCTTTGTTTTTTTCGGTAAAGTCACGTAGAAATAAAAATTAAATTGCATAATATACGACGTTTCGATTGCAACACAAGCAATCATCATCAGGTAGAGGAAACACATAACCGCAGATATATACAGACCTTAAGTAGAGGGCATTAACACAGATTACCAGGGGATACAGAGAGACGGAACATCACACTAAATCAAACAAGGTTTAGCAAAATTTGGAAACTATATAAAGCAACACAGACGGTCGGTTAAAACACAACGCATGGTTTGGTTGAATACGCTGTTTCAAAGATTGTTAATTTGTAAGTTAAGTGTGAAATTTAAGATAGTGATAGAATACTTACCGTAGAGAGACCTTTGGGGGGGAGACGCGCACAGTTAAGAAGTAAAGCAACTCTGTACCGAGGCTTTAAATAGCTAGAGATGGATGGGCTGGGACTCATAGGCAATTGGACACATTAACATGATATAAGTTGTCAGGCACACAGAGAGGGCACCGTAGCGCACACTTAGAGGCACCCAGGTACACAACTACACGACAACTTATATCATGCTAATTTGTGTCCCATTGCCTATGAGTCCCAGCCCCTCCATCTCTAGCTATTTAAAGCCTCGGTACAGAGTTGCTTTACTTCTTAACTGTGCGCGTGTCTCCCCCCCCCCCAAAGGTCTCTCTACGGTAAGTATTCTATCACCATCTTAAATTTCACACTTAACTTACAATTTAACAATCTTTGAAACAGCGTATTCAACCAAACCATGCGTTAATTGTGTTTTAACCGACCGTCTGTGTTGCTTTATATAGTTTCCAAATTTTGCTAAACACTGTTTGATTTAGTGCAGTGGTTCTTAACCTTGTTGGAGGTACCGAACCCCACCAGTTTCATATGCGCATTCACCGAACCCCTCTTTAGTGAAAAATAAAATGTGATTTTTTTCAAATTCAAGACATAGATATGTTTTTTACTGGTACACAAAATGAGCCGTGCATGAACATTACCTTGTTCAAAGAATAAAACCAACACAATGCATAAACTCACAACAAATTACATACCTGGAAATCAATGTGACTTCTGCTGTTGCCTTTGAGAGATCAGTTCAGATATGCGTGGCTTCACCTTGGCAAGTGCCACTCTCATGTCATTTTCACAGCAAAGTCTGTTCCTTTTCTTCGTTTTTATGTCCAGCATCCTCGAAAAGGATTGCTCACAAAGATATGTTGTAACAAATGGTATAAAAAAAATCCAGGGCTTTCTTAGCAATAACTGGATACTTGTTCATTTGTCGACACCAAAACGTTGAGAGCGTTGTTGTTCTGAAGAGTTGCTGTTGAACCTGGCTCTGCTGAATTTCAATGATTTCGTCGAGGAATTCATCATTGACATCTGCTGTTTCAACAGCAAACGTGAACGGCTGTCTCACCCATGCTGGATATGACTCTTGTAGGGAAATATCTGTCGAGAGACTTTGCAAGCTCATCTAAGTGCGTGGCAATTGTTTGCTTCAGTTCCGTGGATACAGAAATATCTCCGATTTCAGACACATCTTCGATCTTACTTGCACAGTCGTCCAGAAGCGGGAAGTTTGCGAAGTTATTGTTCTCTGTTCGTCGTTTCCATAACGGTAGCTTTTTTTGAAAAGCCTTCAGGTGTTCTTCCGCTTCCATGATATTGACTCCACCACCCTGCATCTGCTGATTGAGATGATTGAGAGCTGCGAATATATCAGCCATGTACGCTAAAATGAGAATGAACTCAGGATTTTTGAAGCAATCTGCATGGCAGTGTTGGTGCTCTTGCAAAAACAGGGCTAATTCCACACGCATAGCAAAAACACGATTCAGCACCTGTCCCCGGGATAACCACCGAATATTAGAATGGAGCAGAAGTACCTCAAATTCAGAGCCCATTTCTTTACACAGCTCACTGAAGATGCGGTGCCTCAGAGCACTTTTTCGCACATAGTTCACACATTCCACCACAGTTTTTAATACTTCTGCCATTTTTGGAGGTAAGGTTTTTGTTGCCAACGCATGCCTGTGCAGAATACAATGCGTCACAATGATGTGTGGTGCATCGGCCTTTACTAGCGCACCACAACCAGACTTTCTTCCCAGCATGACTGGAGCTCCGTCCGTACAAACTGCAGAAACCATATCCCATGAAAGATTGTTGTCTCTGAAGAAGTCATCCACAAGCTTCTTCACATCGGCTGCCTTCGTTGTTGTTGTAAGAGGCTTACAAAATAAAAACTCTTCTTTTATCATGTCGTCTTTCACATAGCGTACAAAAACAGCAAGCTGGCTTAGATCAGAAACGTCTGTGGTTTCGTCGAGTTGAAGGCTGAATTTTGCCGGGCTTGAAATCAGATCCGCGACTACTTGAGCCAAGATGTCTTTACTCATGTCTTCTATTCTGTCACTGACGGTGTCATTTGAAAGGGGAATTTGGGATAATTTACCTTCGGCCGCTGTTCCGAGTATCAGATTCGCCATCTTTAATGCAGCTGGTTTCACAAGTGTTTCACCAATGGTGTGTGGCTTGCCCTGCTTTGCGATCAGGTAAGCAACTTCGTACGATGCTGTCAGGATCGGTTTGTTAACAGGTACAAATCCAAGAGCAGGCAGAGTGGCCCTTTCATCGAATCTGGCTCTCTTCACCCTGAATTCAGCAAGTGTTGTGTTCTTGTATTCCCCGTCTCCATGCAGCTTCAAGAAGTGTTCCTTTAGTTTTGCCGGTGCAAGACTAGAGTTGCTCAACTTGGCGTTGCAAATCATGCAGATAGGACGCTCACTCCCATCACGTTCCGTGATACATGAGAATCCATGTTGTACATATTCGTCCGACCACTTTCTTCTTTTGCCCGACATAGTTAGTATGGATAAAATATTAAAGAAATCACACGACGTACGACAACAACAGTCACACGTTGACTACTGAGTACGCACTAAATTCCCCGCAGCGCTGATTGGCAAGCAGTGTAGCATGATCATCTGCAGCCAGTGATGGCCAAGCGGGCCGTGTGTGTCATCACAAATTTACACAATAATTCAAGTGTGTCCGGACCTCCGTGGCGGGGGCTCTGCCGAACCCCTGAGATCGACTCACCGAACCCCTGGGGTTCGATCGAACCCAGGTTAAGAACCACTGATTTAGTGTGATGTTCCGTCTCTCTGTATCCCCTGGTAATCTGTGTTAATTCCCTCTACTTAAGGTCTGTATATATCTGCGGTTATGTGTTTCCTCTACCTGATGATTGCTTGTGTTGCAATCGAAACGTCGTATATTATGTAATTGTATTTTTCTTATTTCTACGTGACTTTACAAAAAAAACAAAGATTTATTATGAATATTGGTCTCGAAAGCCCTCGTGTTAAACTTATGTGTTTGCCTGTCGTACCGCAGTGAAAGTTGTTTTGAGACGCCGATACAATGCGTAATCTTCTGTAAGTCTTCATCTATTTTTTTTAATTGCATTGGAAAAAAGTTAAAGTAGTGTGAGAATTGACAACTGGCAAGCTTCAAAGAGTAGCTGGTTTTGGAAGTGTTGGCGATGCAGTGTCGACTCACACGAGTCTGCTGTGTCGTGGAGGGTTCCAATGCGGTGATGATTGACAGTCTACACACACGAGCCCACACCCACCCCAATAAAAAATAATCCAATTATGATTACTTTTACAACCCCGAGACGCATTCATTAATAACATTGTGACCTTCAAAGGAAAACATAGAGGCGACGTTTCAGGCAATGACCCCTTCATTTGTGAATTGTGCTTGCGTCACACCGCCAACGCAATTGGATCAGTGAAAATTTTAATCTGAATGTTTCTACCATCGCCAGAAATCACCATTTAAAAAATATATTTACACATTTGACGAGCATCATAACAATAGTACACTTTTGAGATGTAGATGGGTGAAACAGCCAAAAGTCGCTCCACAAGTGTAAAGTTATGATACACCTTTTCTTGCCTATATTAGATGGATGATAATCCCAAAATATATTATCTTTTAGTTCATATACATTTTCAAATAGAAGTGATTTTATTCCTAATTTGCTACACGTGTAGCTACACAAGTCGCTACAACTGCTTCGGGCCCCGCACTTTCAAGCTATCAATTCCTGTTCAGTGATTCAGCACTTGCTCTATTACTATAGTACTATACCGCCTTCAACTTTTACGAACGACTGTGTGTTTAAGGTTAGCGATTTGCCGTATTATCTGGCTGTATAGCAAATGGAAAAAACAATTACAGTACTTTACTGTGCAAGTAAAAAAAATAGTTTTTAATGTATTTTTCTTTAGTTAGGGCCCCTATTTATAACATTTGCTACAGGCGCCGCGCATGCTTCATCCGGCACTGGGTATTGAACCGTGTGGGTTGACAAATGATGATGGCATCATCGTGATTGAGATCTACCGACTCGTCTCGCTATACGGCAATGCACGTGTGCAGATCGAACCGCCGATTATCAACCACTCGCCATCAATCGCGAACTATTGCTAACAAAATAAATAATGACATCTAATCACAAACATCTTTTGGCGCGTAAGAAATCCAAAGCGCATACGCCGCATTACGTTGTGTAACTTTTGTAGGGACCGTGTAAACCATCTTACCCATAGGTAATCGATGCAATACAAATCACAATGCGTATAGGCGTGCATTGATGGCTATTACAAATCGCAGTGCGTATAGGTATCAGCTGCCATGCATTATAAACCGTAGTCAGTATAAGCAGCAAGCGTGATGTCATATTATACATTATAATACGTATAGGTATACAATCGCACGCGTTATACAACGTAATTTGCATAGGCCTTAGCTCACGTTCATTAAAATGCAAAGAGTTGTCTGTACAAGTAAATCTTTACTTGTCATCACGTTACAAATCATAATTCATTACAGGTATGCAAGGACAGGGGCATTTGTAAATCAGAAGGCATTTAGCTCACGCTCGTTGATTACAAACTGTAGTGCAGAAAAGCAGCTAACTAACATTGCATTATAAATCGTAATCCGCATAGACTGGCGGCCGGGCGCGTATTGTAAACCGTAGTGCTGATACGCGCGCCCTCACTATAACGCATTGAGGCGGGGGAACCTCGCCATTGGTTGTGAGGCGGTCACGTGGAGCGTCGGACGCGTAAGCGCGCTGGGAAGTATAACGCGCCCGCCGCGGAACGCGACCAGACCGCGTTGATTCTCCGCTTTGAATTGGCGCGACAAAACAAATAAAATTAACATCACCACGGCCACGACGACGACGACTAACTACTGCTGTGGTAGACGCAAGGCGGTGAGGCGGCTTCGGTGAGTGCGTGAGAAGCGTGAATGTTGTTGGTGGTGGTTGTGTCATCCTGGGTTTAACCAGCAGGCTGGATTGTGCGAGGAGCTCACAAATCCTTGAAAGATCTGGGCAAGGTCCCATCGGTGAGCTCCTCCGGCGGGCAAGGCTGCGATGGCTGGGTCATGTAGCCCGCATGTCCAGACACCGCATGCAGAAACAGCTTTTGTTCGGCCGGATCGAGGGGGCTAAACGGGCGCGGCACGGGCTAAAGAAGAGATGGAGTGATGTGGTACAGGAGGCACGGGCTAGAGAAGAGATGGAGTGATGTGGTACAGGAGGCACGGGCTAGAGAAGAGATGGAGTGATGTGGTACAGGAGGCACGGGCTAGAGAAGAGATGGAGTGATGTGGTACAGGAGGACGTGGAGCTGAGTGGACTTGCCGATGACTGGTACCAGCGGTGTCAAGACCGGCCTCTGTGGAGGAGGCTCGTGAAGGACGCTACTGGGCAGTTGGAGGCAGTCGCCCTCCAACAACAACGGAGGGCGGAGGAGCGACGCTCACAACAACGAGCGGAGCGCCGGGTGGCTAAAGCACAGCAGGTTGGCACAGTAGGTTGGCACAGTAGGGGGGCACAGGTGGTACATCAGCTAATCATCTTAGTCAGTCGACCTGTGGCACCTGGGTCTGCCCCGTGACACCTCCTGCCCGCGGGCTTTCGACACTTCACGTGGCCTCAAGGTGCACATGGCCTGGCACAAGCGTCGTGGTGACGTCACCGCCACTTAGTGGCGATTGTTGTTGTTGATGAACCGCAGCACCACCCACAGGGGGCGGGGGGGAGTCTTAGCGGAGGACGACGCTCCACCACCGTGGAGGAGATGGAGCCATCGAGTGTCGCGAGGTGGATCCTTGTACAGTACGGCAGGACTGTATAAGGGCCACTTGGCTCAAAGCAGCCGTCCATCCAGCAGTGGATTGGTTAGGAGACGACGAGGGGTGACCCGCCTCGTCGCAGTGGCGGCGTCTTCTTTGGAGGATCGTCCGCGGTGGAGATGGAGCGATAGAATCGTCAACTCGCTTATGCGTGGATTGTCACGGTGTACCGCCGAACTGTGAGGGTGGATTGATCACGACCGGCGGTGGTGACGCCTGCCAACGCTTGATCACAGAGGCGCCACGTATAGATCATTGAATGGGGGACGCTGGCTGTGGAGATGGAGCTATGGAACTGGCTTGTATGCGCTTTGTGAGGTGGATTGGTACGCCGCAGAGCTGCGAGTGGTCAAAAAAAGAGCTTCATAGCTCATCGGATTCTTCCCGCAGTCTCAATGAAGATTCTGACGAGGCGACTTTGCTAAGGAGGCCATCCAACAGTGGATTGATCCTGACTGATGGCTGTGGTGACGGCGTCAGTCGGTACACATTCCTCGTGTCAATCCACTGCTAGATGACGGCCTCGTCAGTTCGTGAGGGTTGTTTGACCATACTTCACCACGCTGGTCAGTGCGGGTCGCTGAAGGGATTGGGGTTCTTGGTACATGTTTATCAGCACTTATTATTTCCACCTTTCAGTATTATGATTATGAATCGAGTGCCGGTTTTGACTTGTAAATGTCCATGAATGTGCGTACCGGTGCTACGATCATCACGATCATCAGCCACGATCAGTCCACTGCTGGATGAAGCCTGCTCCAAAACCGTAATTGCGCCTCCTGCGATGTAACGATCCATCCAGCACGTGATGAACCCACGGGCTGATTCCATCGCTCCATCTCCCTCGGTAGCAGGGAACTCGAGCTGGCGGTCCCAACCACACGACCTGTGAATATAATCTGCGTCACTACCTAAATGCAAACGATCATTAGCAATGTACTCCCACTTAGCTAACCAGCATTAAGCCTGGCTCGTTTCTTGGATGGTTGGCTGCCGGGCACAACGGGACGGGGGGGGGTGTTTTAGGCCGCAGGGATTGTCGTTCAGAGTAATCAATTGTTGTACTGTACTGCTGTGCTCCTCGGCGTACGCTCGCCACACTGACCAGCGTGGGCCATTAACACCCCACCCCTAGTACCCACATGGCGTGTGGGTGGGACAACGGGGCTGTTCACGAACGAACCTCAAGGCCACCAAGGTCTCTGTGACACTCTCAACCCCGCTGGGCTGCTAGGTGGCCGGGAGGTGGCAGCACGCACGGCGTGGACCTGACGTGCGGTTTTCAAGTCTCGGTGCTCCAGTTTTCTCTCAGAATTATTTATAGAAAATAATTTGTCCAAAAATCCTAAGGCAGGACCTTGAGATTAAACATGTACAGTACATGCATGGACCTTTTGTCAGGGCACTGCCGGATGAGGGCTTCTCCACGCCGAATTGGGCCGTGGGGGTTATTTGACGACGTGGTAAGTCCTCGCTTCGCGCGTCTTCACACAACGCGTTTTTGTTATAAACATTTTTTTCATGGGGGAACACTTTGCACAACGTGTAACGTGCATCACTATAACGTGTAACGTGCACCACTATAACGTGCACCACTATAACGTGTAACGTGCACCACTATAACGTGTAACGTGCACCACTATAACGTGCACCACTATAACGTGTAACGCGCACCACTATAACGCGCACCACTATAACGTGCACCGCTATAACGTGTAACGTGCACCGTTATAACGTGTAACGTGTACCACTATAACGTGTAACGTGTACCACTATAACGTGTAACGTGCACCACTATAACGTGTAACGTGCACCACTATAACGTGCACCACTGTAACGTGCACCACTATAACGTGTAACGTGCATCACTGTAACGTGTAACCTGCACCGCTATAACGTGTAACGTGCATCACTATAACGTGTAACCTGCACCGCTATAACGTGCACCGCTATAACGTGTAACGTGCACCGTTATAACGTGTAACGTGTACCACTATAACGTGTAACGTGTACCACTATAATGTGTAACGTGCACCACTATAACGTGTAACGTGCACCGCTATAACGTGTAACATGCACCAATATAACGTGTAACGTGCACCACTATAACGTGTAACGTGCACCACTATAACGTGTAACGTGCACCACTGTAACGTGCACCACTATAACGTGCACCACTATAACGTGTAACGTGCACCACTATAACGTGCACCACTATAACGTGCACCGTTATAACGTGTAACGTGCACCACTGTAACGTGCACCACTATAACGTGCACCACTATAACGTGGTTTCTCAGCAGTCGACGACGAACTACTTGAGCTGAGCGGTACAGTCCGGTACGCGCTATGATACAGTACCATGGTGACGTGCCCTCAGTGCTTAGTCTCGTCATCTTACTTGTGTCCGTCCATCGTGTCTCGCCAAATCGTTATATTATTTATGGGGAAATCGGTTTCGCTTCACGCTTTTTTCGCTAAACACGCCACTTTTAAGGAAGGTGTCTAACGTGTAAAATGAGGACCTTGCCGTCCAGTACCAAACCATGCTGGTCAGTGTGGTTGGTGAAGGCAGAGAACATAGACGTTGCAGCATAGTACAATACAACTGATTTTTTTTCCTGCATTTCTCCCTGCTGAAAAAGAAGCCCCTCGGGTGAATGAATGACATTTGTATTATTATTGTATTGTTATTCTATTGTTTTTATTGTTTTTGTATTGGAATTGTATTGTTCTTTTATTGCTTTTTTTTTCTTCTAAATGCGTGAACTGTATTTGACAGATAGCCGAGCTAATAGAAATATTTGTCCTCTTTGAGTGGAAAGTCGCTTTGTGTGAAATCATCACACATGGCCATCATGTGTTTTAACTCTGCTTCACCTCTTAGGAATGTGAAATTTACAGCATTTTCTTACTGCTGTAAAACAGGAATACAGTACTAAATTATTTCAAAAGTACTTAAGATAATATAAATAAGTGTCCTGTCTCAAGCAGAAAGCTGCATTTCAGTAACTCAACATTATTTATATTGTGCATAAATTCGCCCTGCCATGCGCCTGCATATTTGGAGTGTGAGTGTCTCTCTCCCCGTGATCGCGTGGATTTTCCTCCGGGGCCTCTGGTTTTTCCCCTCCACATTTATAATCAACATTACGCGTTTAGAGTATTTGGCAGCAATAAATTTCCACACGATAAGCCACTTTGTTGAGCTATCATTTGTGGCTGGGTCGCTTCTGAAAAACAGCTAAACGGCTCAGTGGACCTTACCTGGTAAAATAAAAAAAACTAAATTTGGTATGGAATTTCGAACACTTCGATCTAAACTGAAGAGATGGCTGCTTCTATGCGTGTGAGCAGGAAAACAATTTAGATTTCTTGTCCCGAGTGATATAATTTGCACCACCAACCCGAACTTACCAGCGTGGTGAAGTATGGTTAAATGACCACCCACAGAAGGTGATTGGGAGCAGTGGATTATAAAAGCACTCTACGTGTGCACGTGTGCAATGCGTAGTTTTCGCTCGATTTGGAAATTAGTTCACCCATACGTACTGGGTTTCCTGTTACAAGCACAATAAGCGGAGTCGTGGTGACAGTGCATACAACCCAAGCTGCGGGCTATACAGTTAACCACTTTACTCTGGCTCCATCAATGGGAGGGAATAGCAAAACTACAGACCTCCACATTGGCATCAAGCTCCTGAACGTATTGCCATCATACGCACGCATACAATATTAGAGTCATGCATTTTGTGTACATGGAATTGTAATTATTTAAATATTACACGCTCTGGTGTGGTGCATGCCCAGATGCTGTCTGTTTATTGAGACCACGAGATGTGGTGGGTTAATGATACCTCACAACACCTGTGGTGTTTGAGCTTAGCAGCACTTGATAACTGGCTGCTGGTTACATTATTGTGGATTGTAAGTGCAGTGTGGCCCTGTTACGTACGTAGGATGCGAAAGAAGTTCAGCATACTTACAATAGCGGTATACCTGATTCATCCTTGTTATTGGTTTTGGGTTTGAACATTGTTGTTTGAAACATTACGCTCTCTGAAGGGTTTTGGTATGCAGTAGCCCGTACAGCAAAAAGTTACATTTTGTGTTTCATTCAGTTCTGAGGCGAATCTTCAAAGCGCACACATCTTCCACATTCGTACGGCACTTTGAGCATGAGCAACGCCACTGGTCGTGATGGCGTCTTCACATTGACCTTAAGCTATACGAAAGCTGAATGAAACCTGGGGGAATGATTGTTTTCCATAATCGATAAAAGATTACATTTTGCGTGGAGTGAACGCTTGTCTTCCTCTCATGCCAGACGACTCCTCTCCGTGAATACTTTGCTTCTTGCGACCAAGGATGTTTGTCATATTCGTCAGTGGAGGGTCACTCCTTCTCCTCTGAGGCACATCGCAGCTGGCTTTGACATTCCTCCCCGAAGACCTTGATGGAGCCGTCAAGCACAACGGAACATCAGCGGCCTGATGAGATTAGCCACAGTTACATTTTGACTTAAAACTTTCGTGACTGCAAGAATTAATATTCTTTGGTTCTTTCGGTAAATTCACGTAGATAGAAAAATAATAATAAAAAGAAAGTGGAAAAAAACGAATGTAGACTGTAGCCTGGTTCTTAATCGGAGTGAGTGTACTGGCAGTCTATAATGTAGCATGTAGCCTGGTTCTTAATCGGTGTGAGTGTACTGGCAGTCTATAATGTAGACTAGCCTGGTTTTTAAGTTTGGTGAGCGTATTGGCAGTCTATAATAAAATTAAAATGATTAAAAAAATAAAAATGTAAACCACGACGTTTCGATCACAACACAAGCGATGGTCTTCAGGAAGACGATCGCTTTTTTATCATTTTTTATTTTATATTTTTTACTGTCGGTATGCTCACTCAGGTTCAGAACCAGGCTACAGTCTACATTATAGACTGCCAGTATGCTCACTCAGTTTAATAACCATTGCTACAGTCTACATTATAGACTGCCAGTACACTCACCAAAATTAATAACCAGGCTACAGTCTACATTATAGACTGCCAGTACACTCTCTCCGATTAAGAACCAGGCTACAGTCTACATTAGTTTTTTGTATTGTTTTTCACTTTTTTTATATTATTATTTTGTTCTATCTACTTGACTTTACCGAAAAAAACAATATAGCCACAGTTAGTTACGACTGTGGTCATGCTACCCAAACTGTGGACCGTATTATAGAAGAGGAAGATCAAACCTACACGTCCTCTCTTCCGAAGTCCTATCATGGTTAGCAGACCTCGACATTGACATTCAGCTCCTGAAACATTATACCGCTGTGTGCAAGGATAGAATCGGTACGCCGCTCTTCATTCTCAAGATCAGTTTTCCAAAGGCTCTCCAAATTGCGCTCGCTTGCCTCGTTATCTCATCATCTTGACTCTGGCCTGACCTACATATTTGCCCTACGGTACACATGCTCGGATGTGTTTTACAGTTGTGTCCCTCCAACGAGTGTATTGTTTAGAAAACTTGCCGCGCGTAATGTCGAGGAAAAAGTAAACGCTGCTTTTTTTCAGCGCGAAAAAGGGAAAGGATCTGAACCAGATATAATGATCCTAGACATCGTCAAAGAAGACGAGGCAGCTCGTTGGGGTACAAAATTAGCTATTACATTTGCGAACTGTTTACATTGAAATCGTATCCCTCAATTATAGATAAGACCTCTATAGGGATGAAAAAAAATAGAGACTCAGTCTGAATTAGTAAAATTACAGACCTTTTGGCCTCCTATGATGCATGTAACTTGTTCACGATGATCATTTAGGGCAGAAAAATTGACAGTTTCGAGGCCAACCAACCGTGCGAATGAGCCGGATTTAGGAATGTTTTTCTTTCTACCATCAGTCACATACCATTAATGAGGTTTTGGAAAAAACTCATTCATATCAAACATCGTTATGCCCTACCTTTTGCATACTGCGAAAATCTATTTGAAAAAGCAGGGGGAATTGATGCATTCTTCAAAGCTCTCATAAACCAAGGGCTCAATAAGAAATATTTTCACGCTATAACACAATTTACTATTTTGGAACGGTGGAACAGCTCCACCGAAATTGCATAACGTTGCAAAATACATATCGGCATGAGTCGTAAGCTCTCGCCAAAGTTACTCACAGCAACAGTCGAATGTTTTCCAAAAAACTGGATTGGGAAATTGCCGGATTAAATATAAGTGGATGGATTATTAACCATCTCAGAATTGCTGATGATGTTAAAAAAAACAATGGAAATGTATTCATCATCATCGTTGTTAGTCCCTTAACCGTGGGGGTTGTGTAGCGCCACTGATGCTTTTGTAATCGACCCGTCTCCACCTTTCGCTGGTCTTTTTGCGATGTGCGCAACGTCTTCCGCCGATGTGCAAGAGGCTCCGTTCGTTCCCGTGACTGAATTGCAGTGAATTGTCGAAGAACTCCACAAAGAAGCCTTGTATAGTTCGGGCTCAAGGTAATCGTCAGTAAAATTCTATCGCTTTCAGGGCATAAAATAACGCCAATTCCACGCAGTACAAGCAAATGTGGATCGTGACCCCCACTGCCCAAAAATGCAGATGGCACTGAGCCCTGGAGTTCTGCAATGTAATTGCGCTGAGATTGTGTTTGTGTCACTGAGATTGTGTCACTGAAGCTTAATAAATTAAATGGTTAGCGTTGCACAATTCTACTTTAATTACTGTGTGTAAATCATACATTGGGTTCCCATTCAATTAATCTCACTCCAACATTACACTCCTTTCATGATGCAGCTCCTATGTCCCAAGAGTTTTATTTCTACCCCCCTACATGCGTAAGCAATTACTGAAATGAGTTTCCATCTTTGCGTGTAAAGGGTCATAAAATATCAAGGTCTAGCATTGTATTTTGCTTAAACTGGGGTCCTGTTGACTTTTCATTAGGTGCACAGTTATGTAAATATGCGTCACGGTGTACCATGCTGGGTGTTGCAGACCGATTGGCCTCGGAGGACCGGTTAGCAAAGAAGAGAGCTAATATTTGCAGTCAAGCACGCAGACATATAAAATGGGGCATCCCAAGTTTCCCGTGCAAACGAAACATTACTTCTAATCTCGCTGGGCTGTCACTGATCAAAAAACAAGAGATTTCTGGAATGAGCCGAAGCTGAATGATTGGGACCATAAACATTTCTTCTGTCCCCTTTATTGAATTTATATTCATCCTTGTCGGGCCCCGTGTGTGTTGGCTGAAGGCTGCCGAGCGTCGCATTACAATTAAGGCGGGATGAGTCACCCAGTCGAGGTGGGCGAGCCAGGGCGAGCGGGTGCATAACGTGGGTGCGTAACCATGGCGACACCATCCTGAGTGGTGCTGCCGCTGCTGCTCCTGCCGCTCCTGCTGCCGCTGCAGCAGCGCAAACAACCATTGACGTCTCTCCGGCCGCCCGCCCGCCCGCACTCTCCCTGCCGCGTAGGCGCGACAGCACCACCGTCCCGGCAAGAGGCTCCGTCAAGCGACGTGTTGTCCGAGGTAGCACTCCCCACCCACCCACCCATCTCCTAGGTAGCACTCCCTACCCACCCATCCCCTAGGTAGCACTCCCCACCCACCCATCCCCTAGGTAGCACTCCCCACCCACCCACCCATCCCCTAGGTAGCACTCCCCACCCACTCATCCCCTAGGTAGCACTCCCCACCCACCCACCCATCCCCTAGGTAGCACTCCCCACCCACCCATCCCCTAGGTAGCACTCCCCACCCACCCACCCATCCCCTAGGTAGCACTCCCCACCCATCCCCTAGGTAGCACTCCCCACCCATCCCCTAGGTAGCACTCCCCACCCACCCACCCCCTAGGTAGCACTCCCCACCCACCCACCCCCTAGGTAGCACTCCCCACCCACCCACCCACCCCCTAGGTAGCACTCCCCACCCACCCACCCACCCCCTAGGTAGCACTCCCCACCCACCCACCCACCCCCTAGGTAGCACTCCCCACCCACCCACCCACCCCCTAGGTAGCACTCCCCACCCACCCACCCATCCCCTGTCGCCAGCCCAGACGAAGCATCGAGAGGTGTCATGGTGGTGCTAGGGTGGTGCTCAACGGTACTGTGGTATAGTGGTGGTACTCTAATGGTACTGTGGTATAGTGGTGGTACTCTAATGGTACTGTGGTATAGTGGTGGTACTCTAATGGTACTGTGGTATAGTGGTGGTACTCTAATGGTACTGTGGTATAGTGGTGGTACTCTAATGGTACTGTGGTATAGTGGTGGTACTCTAATGGTACTGTGGTATAGTGGTGGTACTCTAATGGTACTGTGGTATAGTGGTGGTACTCTAATGGTATTGTGGTGGTACTCTAATGGTACTGTGGTGGTACTCTAATGGTACTGTGGTATAGTGGTGGTACTCTAATGGTACTGTGGTATAGTGGTGGTACACTAATGGTACTGTGGTATAGTGGTGGTACTCTAATGGTACTGTGGTATAGTGGTGGTACTCTAATGGTACTGTGGTATAGTGGTGGTACTCTAATGGTACTGTGCTATAGTGGTGGTACTCTAATGGTACTGTGGTATTGTGGTGGTACTCTAATGGTACTGTGGTATAGTGGTGGTACTCTAATGGTACTGTGGTATAGTGGTGTGCTTTAATGGTACTGTGGTATAGTGGTGGTACTCTAATGGTACTGTGGTATAGTGGTGGTACTCTAATGGTACTCTGGTATAGTGGTGGTACTCTAATGGTACTGTGGTATAGTGGTGGTAACCTAATGGTATTGTGGTGGTACTCTAATGGTACTGTGGTATAGTGGGGGTACTCTAATGGTACTGTGGTATAGTGGTGGTACTCTAATGGTACTGTGGTATAGTGGTGGTACTCTAATGGTATTGTGGTATAGTGGTGGTACTCTAATGGTACTGTGGTATAGTGGTGGTACTCTAATGGTACTGTGGTATTGTGGTGGTACTCTAATGGTATTGTGATATTGTGGTGTGCTCTCATGGTACTGTGGTATAGTGGTGGTACTCTAATGGTACTGTGGTATAGTGGTGGTACTCTAATGGTACTGTGGTATTGTGGTGGTACTCTAATGGTACTGTGGTATAGTGGTGGTACTCTAATGGTACTGTGGTACAGTGGTGGTACTCTAATGGTATTGTGGTATTGTGGTGGTACTCTAATGGTACTTTGGTATAGTGGTGGTACTCTAATGGTACTGTGGTATAGTGGTGGTACTCTAATGGTACTGTGGTATAGCGGTGGTACTCTAATGGTACTGTGGTATAGTGGTGGTACTCTAATGGTACTGTGGTATAGTTGTGGTACTCTAATGGTACTGTGGTATTGTGGTGTGCTCTAATGGTACTGTGGTATAGTGGTGGTACTCTAATGGTATTGTGATATTGTGGTGTGCTCTAATGGTACTGTGGTATAGTGGTGGTACTCTAATGGTACTGTGGTATAGTGGTGGTACTCTAATGGTACTGTGGTATAGTGGTGGTACTTTAATGGTACTGTGCTATAGTGGTGGTACTCTAATGGTACTGTGCTATAGTGGTGGTACTCTAATGGTATTGTGATATTGTGGTGTGCTCTAATGGTACTGTGGTATAGTGGTGGTACTCTAATGGTACTGTGGTATAGTGGTGGGACTCTAATAGTATTGTGATATTGTGGTGGTACTCTAATGGTACTGTGGTATAGTGGTGGTACTCTAATGGTACTGTGGTATAGTGGTGGTACTCTAATGGTACTGTGGTATAGTGGTGGTACTCTAATGGTACTGTGGTATTGTGGTGGTACTCTAATGGTACTGTGGTATAGTGGTGGTACTCTAATGGTATTGTGATATTGTGGTGTGCTCTAATGGTACTGTGGTATAGTGGTGGTACTCTAATGGTACTGTGGTATAGTGGTGGTACTCTAATGGTACTGTGGTATAGTGGTGGTACTCTAATGGTATTGTGATGTTGTGGTGTGCTCTAATGGTACTGTGGTATAGTTGTGGTACTCTAATGGTACTGTGGTATAGTGGTGTGCTCTAATGGTACTGTGGTATAGTGGTATAGTGGTGGTACTCTAATGGTATTGTGATATTGTGGTGTGCTCTAATGGTACTGGGGTATAGTGGTGGTACTCTAATGGTACTGTGGTATAGTGGTGGTACTCTAATGGCGCTGTGGTATAGTGGTGGTACTCTAATGGTACTGTGGTATAGTGGTGGTACTCTAATGGTATTGTGATATTGTGGTGTGCTCTAATGGTACTGTGGTATAGTGGTGGTACTCTAATGGTACTGTGGTATAGTGGTGGTACTCAAATGGTATTGTGATATTGTAGTGGTACTCTAATGGTACTGTGGTATAGTGGTGGTACTCTAATGGTACTGTGCTATAGTGGTGGTACTCTAATGGTATTGTGATATTGTGGTGTGCTCTAATGGTACTGTGGTATAGTGGTGGTACTCTAATGGTACTGTGGTATAGTGGTGGTACTCTAATGGTATTGTTGATATTGTGGTGGTACTCTAATGGTACTGTGGTATAGTGGTGGTACTCTAATGGTACTGTGGTATAGTGGTGGTACTCTAATGGTACTGTGATATTGTGGTGTGCTCTAATGGTACTGTTGTGTAGTGGTGGTACACTAATGGTACTGTGGTATAGTGGTGGTACTCTAATGGTACTGTGGTATAGTGGTGGTACTCTAATGGTACTGTGGTATAGTGGTGGTACTCTAATGGTACTGTGGTATAGTGGTGGTACTCTAATGGTCTGTGGTATAGTGGTGGTACTTTAATGGTATTGTGATATTGTGGTGTGCTCTAATGGTCTTGTGGTATTGTGGTGGTGCTGTAATTGGTACTGTGGTATAGTGGTGGTACTCTAATGGTCTGTGGTATAGTGGTGGTACTCTAATGGTATTGTGATATTGTGATGTGCTCTAATGGTATTGTGGTGGTACTCTAATGGTACTGTGGTATAGTGGTGGTACTCTAATGGTACTGTGGTATAGTGGTGGTACTCTAATGGTATTGTGATATTGTGGTGTGCTCTAATGGTACTGTGGTATAGTGGTGGTACTCTAATGGTACTGTGGTATAGTGGTGGGACTCTAATAGTATTGTGATATTGTGGTGGTACTCTAATGGTACTGTGGTATAGTGGTGGTACTCTAATGGTACTGTGGTATAGTGGTGGTACTCTAATGGTACTGTGGTATAGTGGTGGTACTCTAATGGTACTGTGGTATTGTGGTGGTACTCTAATGGTACTGTGGTATAGTGGTGGTACTCTAATGGTATTGTGATATTGTGGTGTGCTCTAATGGTACTGTGGTATAGTGGTGGTACTCTAATGGTACTGTGGTATAGTGGTGGTACTCTAATGGTACTGTGGTATAGTGGTGGTACTCTAATGGTATTGTGATGTTGTGGTGTGCTCTAATGGTACTGTGGTATAGTTGTGGTACTCTAATGGTACTGTGGTATAGCGGTGTGCTCTAATGGTACTGTGGTATAGTGGTATAGTGGTGGTACTCTAATGGTATTGTGATATTGTGGTGTGCTCTAATGGTACTGGGGTATAGTTGTGGTACTCTAATGGTACTGTGGTATAGTGGTGGTACTCTAATGGCGCTGTGGTATAGTGGTGGTACTCTAATGGTACTGTGGTATAGTGGTGGTACTCTAATGGTATTGTGATATTGTGGTGTGCTCTAATGGTACTGTGGTATAGTGGTGGTACTCTAATGGTACTGTGGTATAGTGGTGGTACTCAAATGGTATTGTGATATTGTAGTGGTACTCTAATGGTACTGTGGTATAGTGGTGGTACTCTAATGGTACTGTGCTATAGTGGTGGTACTCTAATGGTATTGTGATATTGTGGTGTGCTCTAATGGTACTGTGGTATAGTGGTGGTACTCTAATGGTACTGTGGTATAGTGGTGGGACTCTAATGGTATTGTTGATATTGTGGTGGTACTCTAATGGTACTGTGGTATAGTGGTGGTACTCTAATGGTACTGTGGTATAGTGGTGGTACTCTAATGGTACTGTGATATTGTGGTGTGCTCTAATGGTACTGTTGTGTAGTGGTGGTACACTAATGGTACTGTGGTATAGTGGTGGTACTCTAATGGTACTGTGGTATAGTGGTGGTACTCTAATGGTACTGTGGTATAGTGGTGGTACTCTAATGGTACTGTGGTATAGTGGTGGTACTCTAATGATCTGTGGTATAGTGGTGGTACTTTAATGGTATTGTGATATTGTGGTGTGCTCTAATGGTCTTGTGGTATTGTGGTGGTGCTGTAATTGGTACTGTGGTATAGTGGTGGTACTCTAATGGTACTGTGGTATAGTGGTGGTACTCTAATGGTATTGTGATATTGTGATGTGCTCTAATGGTATTGTGGTGGTACTCTAATGGTACTGTGGTATAGTGGTGGTACTCTAATGGTACTGTGGTATAGTGGTGGTACTCTAATGGTATTGTGATATTGTGGTGTGCTCTAAT